TCAGAGGTGAGCAGAAGGAGGTGATCTGCAAATCTTTCTTCTGTTCCATTTTCGCTCTTTGTGCATCAGATTCAGGGTGAAGAGAAGACTATTCTAACCCTAATCATATTCAGATGGTTGGAAACTGTTCACTTGGACCTGTCTAGACACTTAGTGTATAGAGGCTGATCAGAAAATGAATAAAGATAAAGAAAAAAGGAAAAGAATTAAGGAGAAAAAAGAAGAAGAAAAAATAAAATGAAAAAAGAAAAGAAAAAAAGAGGATAAAAACCCATAAGATTATAATTTTAAAAAGCAAAAATGAAAACGCACAGCACATGTGTGCCGTGCAAAACCAGTATTTCACATCTGAAGTACAGTATTCATATCAGGATAGGCCTGGCTTCACTGGTACCTTTCCTAAATGAAGTGAGGAGAGGCACAAATTAACGCAATAAAGGAGAGGCTTGAGAGCCCAGAGAATACTTTACCTTAAATTTTTTTTTTTAATTAAAACTCATAGAGAGACACAGTGAGACAGAAAGAGACAGATAGAAATGGAGAGAGAGACACAGAGCTATCTCTACCCACTAGAAATGAGTCTGGAGGGAGAAGCCTCAGCAGAAAGTCTTCATTTTTGGTCAAGGAAACCAGTATTTCACAGCCAAAGTACAGTATCCATATCAGGATAGGCAGAAAAGTTTTATCTTATAGAAGGACTTAAGTATCTCTCCTCAAAATATGTGTTAATATGTTGAGTGTAAACACATGTTAATTAAGGAGTATGTGTATTGATTAAGTATAATTGATTAAATTTACAGTGGAGAAAGCTGGTACTGATACCACCTTAACCAAATGATATAAGTTAATACCAGCAGTAATGAAACAAATCAACAGATGAATATCTCCCAATATGACACACTGAGAAAAATATAGAATCTCTTTTTGGCAGTAATATTAGCATGTATTTTCTATATCAAGCATTATGGTCACTTTATAAACACTGATATAAGAATAAGTATGTTCAGGGCACTATTCTAAGAGCTTTGCAAGTATTAACTCATAGTATTGTTATCGCATTTGATTGACACAGAAACTAAAACACAGAAAAGTAATTGGCTTGTCCAAGACCACACAACAGTCAAATGGCAGAGGTACGTTCAAAACCAGGCATTCAGATTTAGAGTCTCTGCTCTCAGATGGTCCTTTTTTTTTTTTTTTTTTTAATTTGCCAGAGGGTGTGTGTGCTGAGAAAAAGGCACAAAGAGAGAAAGGGAAAGTGAGAAAGAAACCTCCTTGGGGGATGATCACACCACAATCTCTTCTTCTCCATCTCTCCTTTTTTTTTTTTTTTAAGGATTTTGGGCACATATATACACACCTGACATGTTTTTCAAGCCACTGGGTCTGAGACTCAAACCATGCAGCCAGACATGTGAGTTCTAGCTGCCCTAACCACCACACCACCAACTAGCCCAAGATTACGTTTTAAACAGATAACCACTTAACATTAATTCCATATAAAAGCTCTACAGCTTTACTTTTATGCTTTTATGCTTTTATACATTTTATGCTATTAAAAGAACACCTTACATCTTTGTATACTGTGTGACCACTAATAAATGATTGTAGCTTTATTTTTAATATTTTTTTAAGGTTTTTGCCATAGGGTGTGCTCACTCACCAGGAAGAGATAGAGAGAGGGAAAGTGAGAAATCACCCCTCCCTCCCAGGGGTGGGCATGGCCACATTGCAGTCCCTTCTTCTCTATTCTCCTCCCCAGATTCTGGGCACACACACACATATGCCTAGCATGATTTTCAAGCTGCCAGGTCTAGGATTTGAACTGCAGTTGGCCGTGTGAGAGTCCAGTACCTTAACCAACATACCACCTGGTGGCCCTAATACTTTTGTCTTTTAAAAAAAAAAAATTGCTAGAACACATGTATGTTCGCTGAAGAAACAGAGAGAGAATGGGGGAAGAGAGAGAATATTCCCTGGGAGAGAAGGTGATGCTGCAATCCCTTCTCCTATCCTCCTTTCAGGATTTTGTATACACACACACACACACACACACACACAGAGTGTACTTTTTTTTTCTTTCTTTTTTTTATTTGAGAAATTTTTGCTATGAGGCACATGTGCACACCAGAGAGACAGAAAGTGATTATCCCCCCCCCCAAGGGGGATAGCCATGCTACAATCCCTTCTCCTCCATTCTCCTCTCAGGATTTTGGGCACATCACACATGCATCTGGTGTGCATTTCAAGCTGCCAGGTCCAGGACTCGAATTATGGTCAGCCATGTGAGAGTCCAGCAGTGTAACCATTTGCCATCTGCTGGTCCCATTCTGGTGCATTTTTCAAGCCACCAAGTCTAGGACTTGAACCACATAGTCTACTACATGGAATCCAGCCACCTTAACCACTGGCTCAATACTTGTCTTTATAGTGACAAATTTCTTTTTTCTTGCTGCTTTTGGGATTCACTTTTTAGATTTTGAAACTTTGATTATAACATGTTTCAGAATATTCTTCTTTGGGTTGATCTCGTTTGGGATCCTTTGAGCTTCAGATATCTGGATGCCCATACCCATTACAAGATTTGCAAAGTTTAAATAAACCTTTGCCCTTCCTCTCTCTTTTCCTCCTTAGACAAAGTTCATATGTTTATTTGCCTGATGATGTAGGTCCCTATGCTTTCTTCTATCTATCTTTCTTCCTTTCCTTCTTTTCCTTGAATTGGCTAATTTCAAATGATCTGTCTGAGTTTATTACTTTTTTCTTTTGCATAATTGTGTCTGCTGTTGAACTCTTTGTTGCATTTTTCAGTTGTCATGAAATTCTTCAGTTCTAAAATTTCTTTTTGATTCTGTTTTTTTTATTTCTACTCTTTACTAGCTTCTAGTTTTGTTCATGCATTCATTAGTGATTTTGTTTATTCATATATCTATGTTTTGTTGTACTTCATTGAACTTCTTTAAGATGATTATTTTGAATTATTTGTTAGGCCACTTATAGCTCTCCTTTTCTTGGGGTCAGTTATTGGAGCTTACTGTTTCCTTTTATAGTGTCATGTTTGCCTGATTCTTCATTCCATGTAGGCTTGCTGCTGGGTTCTCAGTGGGTCCATAATTGGTGGGCCTGTTACCAGAGGCTTGAGCAGCCTTGGATCCCATCTGGACCCTTGGAAGACTAGGCTGCCTCTTTCTGAACCTTGGTCAGTAGGGCTGGCAATGGATGAAGGGTCTACTTCTAGTTTTGCAATTGGGTCCATAGTGGGCCTGTAGCCAGGTGTGCAGATATGTGTAGGTCTCTCTGAGTCCCTGGGTGGGCTCCTACTCAGTCACTGGATGGGTCAGGCATGAATGACCTCAGACCATGACTGATAGGGGCTGGCACTGACTTGCAGGGATGCTTCATGGTCCACAGCTGAGACTGCTGTCTGAGTACCTGACTCCAGGGGAATAGATAGGCATGCAGCCTGCTGGGTTCCTGGGAAGGCAGGATTGCCCCTGGACAACAGCTGGACAACAGTTCTGTGACCTGGCTCCAGCCCTGTCTATCTGCGCTCAAGCCCTCAAAGGGCTGCATCAGGATCTGCAATTAGATTTAAGTCAGTAGACTGCCTGTAGAGTATGGGATTGTATGTCTCCCAGCAGGTCTCTGGGTAGGCAGGTCTGCTCCCGGACAAAGCTGGGAAGAATAGGGCTGGATTGCAAGGTTTCTTCAAGATCCTCAATGAGATCAAGGTCAGTGGACCTCCATCAGTGGGCACAGACAGGCATATCTCCCTGGCAGACAAAACTTGCCCAGACTGTAGCTGAGTGAGGGGTTGGGACTAACTAACAGGGCCATTTCAGGATCTGCTGTGGGACTGCGGTCTGCAAGTCTGCCTCCAAAGACACAGGCGAGTGTGACTCCTTCCAGGTCCTTTGGCAAAGAGTTCTTGTGGCAGGAACAAGGGCCAAATGTGATTGTATACAAGGCCACAGGGAGATAAGGCCACTTCCAGGTCTGTTGCTGGGTACAGTCCTGCCCTTGGTCTTGGGCTCCACAAGAGTTTTATAATCTCCTACCTGGGTCCCAAAGCATTTCAGGACCTCCTACAAGGCATTTTGTCTCTGGATGGCTGCTAAATTCTTGGCATTGTGGGGGGAATATGAGCAGGGGATCTCCTATTCTGCCATTTGTCTTTAGTATTATTATTTGTATGGCTGTTACAGTAATACATCATATATTGTATTTTATAAGATAATGTCGGGCTATATTGCTTGATATGTTAGCATATATTTTAAGACAAATACTGTTATATTTTAAAAATTGTATGCAAGTTACAAAAATACCATAACTTCACAAGATACTTAAAATATAAAATGGTTTCCAATGGTGCTAGCTTAAT